GGGCTGGAGTTGGGGGGACACGTCCTGGAGCTGGGGGGGACACGTCCCAGAGCTGGGGAGCACAAGGTGGAAGGACGTCCTGGAGCTGGAGGGGGGTGTCCCAGAGCTGGAGGGGACGTGGGGACAGTGGGGACCCCCCAGAGCCCCAGGGGACACCCCAAAGTCCCAGGGATCCCTCCAGGTCTCAGGGAAAGGTGCTGGAGCCACCTCAAGGAGCCCCAGGGGATCCCCCAGAGCCCCAGGGGACACCTCAAAGTCCCAGGGGTCCCCCCAGAACCCAGGGGAAGGTGCTGGGGACACATCCCAGAGACCCAGGGGACACCCCAAAGTCCCAGGGGTGCCCCCAGAACCCAGGGGAAGGTGCTGGGGACACATCCCAGAGACCCAGAGGACACGATGGGAGGGACTGGGATGGGATGGAATGGAGTGGGATGTGATGAACTGGGATCGACTGGGGACTAGGATGGGGATAGGATGGGAGCAGATGGACTGGGATGGGATGGGGATAGGATGGACTGAGATGGAAAGGGATGGGATGGACTGGGATCAACTGTGGACTAGGATGGGATAGGATGGGAGCAGGTGGACTGGGATGGGATGGACTGGGATAGGGATGGGATCAACTGGGATGGGGAGAGCCCCAGGGGACACCCCAAAGTCCCAGGGATCCCTCCAGGTCTCAGGGAAAGGTGCTGGAGCCACCTCAAGGAGCCCCAGGGGATCCCCCAGAGCCCCAGGGGACACCTCAAAGTCCCAGGGGTCCCCCCAGAACCCAGGGGAAGGTGCTGGGGACACATCCCAGAGACCCAGGGGACACCCCAAAGTCCCAGGGGTGCCCCCAGAACCCAGGGGAAGGTGCTGGGGACACATCCCAGAGACCCAGAGGACACCCCAAAGTCCCAGGGGACCCCCCAGATCTCAAGGGAAGGTGCTGGGGACATGTCCCAGATTGGGGTGCGGATGGGATGGAATGGGATGGGATGGGAAAGACTGGGATCAACTAGGGATTAGGGTGGGATAGGATGGGAGCAGATGGACTGGGATGGGAGGGACTGGGATGGGATGAGGATGATGCCGGGACAAAGATGGGCCCGGGGAGGGGAGTGTTTGGGGTGTGTGTCCCCCCCCCTCAGTGCCCGCTGTCCCCTCGTCAGGTACAAGGGGGTGAAGAAGGGGGGTGTCACGGAAAACGCCTCCTACTACATCTTCACCCAGTGCCCCGACGGCGCCTTCGAGGCCTTCCCAGTCCAGCACTGGTACAACTTCACCCCCCTGGCCAAGCA